TATATTGTAATATCTATCCACATCTGATTTGTTTGTGTATACTATTTAATTATGTTGGAGAAACAACTATTTGAAATTTCTTGTAATTAAAGTAGGGGGAACAAAATGTTTGGAAATTGAAAAATTCAACATTTTATGTGGGAGGGCAAGTGGGCATTTGGTCCCATTTTATGGGTTGGACGTGAAGAACACTTTGGTAGGAAGACTAGTCATAGTAAGTCAAGCTGAGTGGGTTTATCTTTGTGGAGTACATTCAGTCTATTAAAAATAACAGTGACTGTTGTAATTGGGAGGGTATCACATGCAATGCCAAGTCCGGTGAAGTGGTCGAGCTACACCTTTGGTTGCGGAAGCCTCCAAGGCCGGTTTCATTCCAATAGCAGGCTTCTAAACCTTCGTTTTCTAACCACTCTAGACCTTTCATCTAATAATCTTAGTGGTCAAATCCCGTCTTCAATTGGAAACCTTTCTAAACTCGCCTTTCTTGAAAACTAACCAATTCAGCGGCACTCTTGAGTTTGGGAATATATCTTCACCATCTATGCTACCTTGGCAACAACAACTTGAGAGGTCCAATCCCGAGCTCCATTTCCAGATTAACCAGCCTTTCTTCACTTGACCTTTCCAATTTCAACACCCAAGGCTCAGTTGATTTTAGTATCTTCTCGCATCTCAAGTCGCTCCAATATCTTTACCTATCCCATTTGAACACCACCATTACGATCGAGTTGAATGATATCTTATCACATCTCACGAGTCTCTCTTCATTGGATCTCTCAGGCACCTATGTTGGAAAGATTCACGTAAATAAGACGCTACCGAATCTTATTTACGTGAATCTTTCCAACAACACTTTGACCGGCTTCGAAAACTCAACCAACCCTGGGCTGTCCCGAAATCATCTATACAGTACTTGTTTGGCTCCAACAACAATTTCACGGGAAAGATTCCATCTTTCATATGCTCACTCTCAACCCTACTCTTTCAGTTCTAAACCTTCGTCATAATCGTCTTGATGAAAATGTATTTGAATGGCTTGACGTCGGTCATAACCAACTGGTGGGAAAGCTTCCAATATCTTTGATCCATTTCTCTACTCTTAAAGTTCTGAACGTGGAAAGCAACAGAATCAACGACACGTTTCCGGTTTTGTTGAGTTCTTGTCTTACGCTCCAAAGCATTCCATGGACCTATACACCAAGCCTCGTTCCCTAAGCTGAAAATCATCGACATTTCCTATAATCACTTCAATGGAATTTTGCCATCAGACTACTTTGTAAGGTGGAGTGCTATGTCATCACTTGGGACAAATGAAGATCAGCCAGATGAAAAGTACATTGGAGATGGGCCATATGGCTATTACCATGATTCCATGGTTTTGTCGAATAAAGGTGTAGAGATGGAGCTAGTACGTATCCTAAAAATCTACACCGCACTCGACTTTTCGGTCTATTGAAAGAGCTTCATGTGCTCAATTTGTCAAACAATGCTTTCAATGGCCACATCCCTTCATCAATTGGGAACCTCACAGCTCTCGAGTCGCTCGACGTTTCCCAAAACAAGCTTTCAGGAGCAATTCCACAAGAGCTAGGGAATCTCTCATTCCTTGCGTACATGAACTTTTCTCATAACCACCTCAAAAGTGCTCTTCCTTTGAGGATAACTTGGGACTTTTTGGACTTTCTCTTATCGAAGATTGCAGAGATATTCACACGCCAGCGTTGCAGCAAACGGATGAAAAGCCG